AACTGCAATAATATCACAGTCATGGCTGATAATCATCTAATGGCAGAAATCCCAGATCCGGATCACCAGGAACATTTCATCAGTTGTGGTTTGCCCACATGCCAGTAAACCCTCATCCTGTTCCTCCTCCTCCTCCCTTCTTTCCAGCCACAAACCAAACTACTGCTTGTTGTATTTGAGACAGTTATGTTATTACTCACGTTACATTCACATTATTGCCCAATGTCATGAAATACTTTTTTTTTCTAAATTTTCACAGGTTTTTCATATTTGTATGTTCCCCCCTATAATAGGGCTTTTTTGTACTTATTTCAAGCTCGCACCCTCCTGATTTTTCTACCATTGCCTTCACTATGTTCATTACCATCAGAAATATACTCTGGTTTCAACGTAAATATTTATCTTGGGCTCAAAAGCGGGGATCGGTTTCTTTATTGGGACTGCCGTTTTATAGTGTGCAATAACAAAAAGTGAATTTCTACCTCATCTGTGAGGCTCCACAGTGGGCTGCTTCAAGGAACAGCACACAAACATGAACTGAATGACAGCAAGCAAGCAGATGTTAATAAGCCTCAGGTAGAGGCCACAAGCTTGAAGGACAAAGACCACCCACAAATATATGACATTAAATAAGGTGACCTTAAAGGGATTGTGAAAGCTACTACAAAATGTGCAAACAATGCCACGGTATACTCTGTCAACGATGTTACAACATCTCACACAACAACTCATGTTGAGCAAGAGTCATTCATCTTTTATAGAGCGTGAACATACATACTTGCAATTGTTGGGATTCTTTCAGTCTGGACCAAAAAACACAGAATGAAACTGACTAACACTGGCACCCAAAAGCAGCTCCAGTGGTGTTTCCAGATAAGTGTTTTGAGATCCAGGCTCAGTATTTTCTCAGAATGACATTTCTGGATTCGTGTTAAGCAATAAACTTACTTAGCTCCCAAATTAAATCGAAGCTCCTTCAGTTTTTAGCAGCAGTCCAAACAGTCATCAATAAGCTCCTACAATCCAGCAAACCTCTCCTCAGTGTCATGCTAGCTCATGCAGCCCCCACTCTCAGCCAGCGTGACAGACGTTTCCCCTCGTTCTATGTGTCTCTAAGTCATTATCTCAGTGTGTTTGAAGAAACCAAAACAGTGCTCTTCCTTAAAAAAAAAAAGATGAAAGGTTTTAGCCTGGGGCCCCAAATGCCATCAGCCCCTGTGAAATGCTGGGAGACCGAGGCTTTTTCTGGGGTATAATTTCAGCAAGGCATCAACATTCAGGCCCAGAGGTGAGCAAAGCTTGGACCCAGAGCTCCGGGAAACAACATGAAAGAGAAAAGGACGGCTGTGTGGGTTTAAGTTTGTGGTGTTCGATGGAAGAGCCAAGGAGATGATGGTGTCAGTATGAGCAGTCACGCACTGTCATTAACAGTGACTGCTCACAGAAAGGGACCGTTAGTCACAAGAGACGTGTGTGAGAGACGGTTTCAGTGTGACTGTAGTGATTAGAGACGAAGGCTTCAGTAAAAGGTCTGACAGGAGACTGAAGCGCAGGGCTTAAAGTGAGTTTCCAACTTAATTAATAGATAGAGGATAAAATGAACGGCAATAACAAATAAACACTACAATTTCTTATGTTTTTATACACACAAATGCAAAATCAGCGCCAATTAAACATAAAATGCCAAAATAAGGGGAACATCCCTGTATAAAAGCCCTTCATCACATGCCAAATAAATACCTTCTAAGATTTATTTTAGAAGAAACAACAAAGCTTTTCCACTCTTTATAGATAACACTCCCAGAGAAGTTGTCTGTGTTGTTACAGACCTGATTTAAAATAGCTGTTGTTTTCCAGGAGTGGATCCTTCCTCTTCAAACCAAATGCGGTGCCTCCAGTTTCCTACCAGCTTTGGCCCGATGCCATACTCAGCTTTTCATACCAGGAAACCAAACAGAGGGAAGTGGCAGCACAGATGCTGATGGGGAAGCTGCTAAGTGCTTGTATTTTCCAAGACAACTCAGGAAGATATAATTTACTTTCATTCCTAAAAAGTTGATTCTGTTCATCTGGACGTAGCGTTTCCTGATGAACAGAATCGACTTTTTGGGATTTCTTTATCTCCGTGATTGACCATGCATCAGGACAATGGACTTTCAGGTGTAGAGGATCTTGTGTTTTATGACCATGATAATGAGGATGTATGATGTTTTCTAATACTAAGGGGATAATCAAGACAACAACAAGAAATGCAGGTGATTTTAGAAAAGACCATCTTAAAAAAAATAGGATGACATTAATAAAGGATATCGTCACACATGGAATTATCGCTTCACTGTCACTTCAGCAATTAAGATGTTTTGTTCAATGATGGTTCAAATATATAAATGCACCTTCAGGAATATTTGGTTAAAGGCCCGTTACCAAGTTTCACATTGACCAGCTGATTTGGTACCCATCAACAACCATCTGCCATAATACTGTCTGGATATTTGACCACTTCTCTTGACTTTTCTTGACCTTGAACTGTCATGGACCTGGTTTTCAAGCAAAACCAAGAGTTTTCAGTAGGGTTGAGGTCTGGGCTTATTCCACTTAGGGCCATTCCAGAATTTTATCATTAGCCTGCATTCCAAAACTAGATTTGATATGTGTTTGGGACCATTGAGTTGGAACACCCAACTGTGTGCAAATTTCAACTGTCTAGCTGTTGTTGAGGAATTTGGAGACAGTCCGTCTACACTATTCCATCCACTTTGTCCAGTGATGACCATCATGCTACCACCACCATGCTGGTACAGCTGATGCAGTCTTCTTAAATTTGAAAGTTTCACCGTTTTACTCCTCCAAAGATACCTCTTGTCATTGTGGCCAATTACCTAGATATTTGTTCTTCTCCTGAAGGCATTTGGCTTGTTCATGTGGGGAGCTGAAAAGCAAAAAGGTGTTGATTTTGTGTCTTGGTCAGCACCGACTCAGTCAGTAGTGATGTAAAAGTCACTTTAGTCTGGACAATGACAATGGCATTCGAGATGTTTTCTGTTCATGGCAAGCTCGAGCCTTGGTGGCTCCTGGGTTTTTCCTAACTAATTTTCTTAACTAATTTCAGCTTTCTCCTAAGTACCATAAGTTATACCATTAGTTCTGCCATTTTTCCCAGTATCAATTTTCGTTGTTAAAAATTAAATGTACATCGGGCACAAGCAATCAAAATAACTTATTCATTAAAAATTGTCAGTATTACTGAAATCTCTGTAGACTGTGCTGTTCTTGCATGATGAAGATCCACACTGCCACACAGGAGAAAATCACAAACCTAAAGTGGTTTTGGAGTGTATCGGGTGGATTGAAAACAGAGGGGAGATTAGCACTTTTTTCACAATTTTAAAATACTTTTAAATACAATTAGCACGCCTTTATCCCAGACTAGAAAAGATCAAGCACATGGAATTTTCCACCTCTGCCACAAATTCTGAGCATCCTACAATTAAATGTTGTTACTCTTGCTGAGTCATACAAATACCCAGGCATTTTTGTTCACAGTAGACTTTGATTCAGAGTTCATAAGGTTCATGAAAAGGTTTGATACACGTTGGAAAAACCTGCTATTCATTCCTTCTCTCAGGATTCTCTTTGTTTGTTTGTTTTTGAATTACTCATAAAATTATGAAACAGTTCCAGAAAGATTAAAGAGGTGGGGATGGCCCTACTTTTAACTGATAAACCTTTGAAACTGAGCCCATCTTGGGAGAAAACAAAAAAAGCATGACACAGCTCTCCTATTAATAATCAACTTGAAATATAATATTTAATGTTCTCAAGAAAATAACAGAAAGCCTATTGGCATCCAGTTAAATGCAATTTATTTATAGTGTGGTTTTCAGCGGTGGTGGAAATATGCTGTGTCAAGAAAGCCCCTGTGATAATGTCTTCAAACCACATTAAGTTCTTCTTTCATTTAAGTTTAAACTCATTAAAACTGGTTTCATATACCACGCACCTTTAAATGTCAACAACTTCAAACTGCCCTTGAATTGGAGATTTAGCCCCCACGTATAGGCTTAATCATCTCATGTTTTTATCATTCTTTCAACTGCATTTATTAACACATTGTTTACTCTGTTCCGCATTTCTTTGTCTGTTGTTTGTGTTTTTGTGACTAATTTTTTGTTCTCAGGCCTTTCCTGACAAAGACATTAATCTCACTGATTAAAAAAAACATAGGATCAACGTAGGGATTTTGAAAGTACTCTAAAGGTTAATAAGTAAGAAATAACTTGTAAAAGCAAAGTATTCCCTCCGATAAAAATGTTTGTGTATAACAAAGTATATATATGTGGCAAAAAACAACAACAAAGAGACAGGTTCTCAACTCACACCATAGCTGCCAGCAAGACCAGAGGGAAAACAGCTGGTTTACTTGGGAGGGCTGGTCGTAACTGGATTTACTGCTTTTTTTACACAATTAGCCAGAATTTACTGGTTAAGCACAAAAAACATAGTATTCAGCTAAATTTTATTATATAGGAGCAGTTCACAACAACAATCATCTGAAGGTTTTGCTGGAGTAATTTTCCACAACATTTACCTTTTGTTTGTTCAGTTCTAGCAAAAAAAAAGCCCAAACCGACAAGAATTTAACCGCCACCGTGTCACCATGTGAATGTATTTTCATATGATTGCAATTATGTGGGTCAAACCTTAGAGGGATTTCCCTACTTGGGAGTGACCTTCACAGGCTGTAATGAGAAAAGAAGACATGCCCTCTTTGGGTGACGATACATTTAAACAGGCAGAGTGGTAAAAAGAAAGACCCTTGGGGTGTTTAAATGCTAAACAGGCAAAAACAACCCTCCACGCTCCTCATCTTTTGATCTGCCACCTTTTTAAATGGAAAACAGGTCCAATTAATTCAGCATAATATAACCTAAGTCTGCCACCCAAAGACAGATTTAAAGGTTGCTGCTGTAACAGTCAAGTAGCCCCCAGTCAATTCACCATGACAGTTTTTCAGTTTTCTTTATTTATTCGTTCATTTTAAAAGATACAAAGGCCAAACACAAGGTCCTCTTAGAAACACAAGACTGGAATAATAATTTTTTTTTTTTTTAAAAGCTTCAAAACCAGCCAAAATTCAGAGGTCAACAGTCAGTAACTCATAATACATAAAACACATCAATATCATCAGTTTCTTTTTGATCAATCAGAAAAAAAAGCCAGAACAGGGGAACAAGATATCTATAACTTCAATGCTGATGACTATCTAGAAAAAATGTCACCAGTAAAGTGGAAACTTAAACTGAGCAACTATTAACCAATAAAACGCATGCAGACGTGGCTAAGAGGGCTGCCTGCTGCCTGGAATCATCTGCGCCGATAATAAATACTGTACAGTGTTTGACACCGACATCTATCCGCGACCTCTCAGTGGCACTGCTGTCCCCTCATGCATTTTTTAGGGATCCTGAATTAATATTTATTGTCATCAAAACTAACACAGTATAATATTGCACAAGCCCATAATTCATAATTCATGGGGTGGAAAGGTTTAGAATACTGTGACAGGGTGGCAGAAAGCTGATGATATGGAGGCTTGTGTCATGTCCAGTGGAAGCGTTAAAATCAGCTTTAATTTGGTATCTTATCAGCAGGGCTGCAGCTTTGAACTGGAGGCATAATGCTGGACCCAAAGTAAATGATCTGCTGCAAACATTAGCGTCTACCAATCCAGGCAGATCCCAGTACAAACGTACTGCGTATATGAATGTTAAACCCAAACCCCTTCCCCCCTACACACGCACACACACCACTTTCAAAACTCAGTTTAATCCAACAGACACTGAACTGCAAACTTGATTTCTCTGCTGCTTACCTATACACATAACAGCAAAATCTATGTTTGTTCTTCAATGCACAGCACAGTTTTTTTTTTGGTTTTTAATACTTTCAAAACACGAACATAAAAGTGCCATAAAAAAGTGAAACTGTGTGAATATTTGGAGCAGATCTACCTTGACCTGAGACGACATCCGTTTAGTTTTAGGCTTGCATCTGGTAATACATATATTTACAGATTTAATACTGTTATTTCAGTAAAACATAAGTTGAGTAGGGGGTCCAGATTTGAGACTTTTATAACCAGAACACAAATGTGACTTTATAAAAGTAAAATATATCTGCTATAGCTAATAACACATGAAAGACTGCAATAACTGTAAAAAAACAAAAAACATTTTCTGAGTGATCTTAAATGTTTTGAAAAATTGTATCCCCTCTAATGACTGCAGCATGTGTTTGAATGATTTGCAAATAAAGAAAAAAGTGTTGTTTTTGTCTTTCATATATTAATTACCTCTTAATTATCTTAAACCTGCTGTCTTTTGTTTAAAATATCTGATCCCGGGTGTCTCCTCAGGTATTTTAGATCACAAGCGAAGTGACTCTATAGGTTTGTAATGATGGAGACTTAAACACATTTGATTCCTCTTTCTGTTCTGTGTGTCAGCACCAGTGCACCATATACTAGATTTTTATAAATACAACAACAACCTGAGGATGTGCTGGCAAAAAAATATGTGTGGATTGCATCTTTATTTGAAGCATCCAGGTCAAGAATTTACTGTTGTACAAAAAAGGAACACTATTCTGTTAGTGGCTGCTATACTAAAGCTTGGAACTAGATATTAAATAGATATTAAACATCTTAAAGCAGCCCTGAAAAGGAACAAAAGGTAACAAACCAAGAATTTAACTCTTTAAACCACTGGTGAGAAAGACTAGTACTACTCTAAGACTGACCTTGAGATTTCCAGTCTCACATATTTTTTTTTTTGCCAAGCAAAATAAAATATTACAAGCTTTTAGTTTGTTGTGAGTAAATTTGGTCGTTTTTTCAAATAAAAATACATTAAAAAAAATCTGGTTATTTGCCAATATGTTAATCATATATTAATTATTAGATATTATGTTCAGATTAAGTTTTGTCCATAACCCTCAGTGTAACTTCAAAAGATAATATATATTCTGTGTTTCTTCAGGGGAGCTCAAGGGTTCATTTAAAGGATATGTGCAAGCTGTTTTAATGGAGCGTATATACATCACCAGCTGTGGGTCTCGGAGGTTCCATGTTCCACAAAGAACAGATTTAAGATCAGAGTCCAGGTAGCACCAACTGGTACAGCAGCAGTCGTGTTACCCCTGACCTCAAACACGGGGATTAGGGACACAATAATTTTATTTATATTTTGCCAATAGATTGGATCATATCTGTCCATAGATCTGCTTCCTGAAAAGATCCCAGATTTGGTTCAGGTGGAAAAGATGAATGATCAGTTCAGGAAACAAAAACAGAGGGCACACATGGACTTCTGGTAACACTGGTTAGGGGCAACAACTCCCACCTCCGGCCAGCCAGGGTTTAGGTCATGGTGTGCTACTCTGGTGTTTGCTGCCCTCTAGGGCTGAGAGCAAGGCAGTGCAGGTGTGGCTCAACAGGGAGAAAGAAAGGAGGGAATTAAGAGGGAAGGGAGGAAAGCAAAGAGAGGGGAAGGAGGTAGAGAAGAGGAGGTAGGGGGGGGGCAACGCTACTCGTCACAGCCCAGAAGCTCCATTCGCAGGGTGATGTGGTCATGCCACTCCCACGGCAGGATGCGGACATATCGGGCGTAGAACGGCGGCTCAAAGATGTTCTTTTTGTGAACGTTGTTGTCGCTGTTGCCTGGGAAAATCTGAAGAGAAGAAAGTGATTAATTAACACAACAGTTTCACATGTTGTTGCAACAGTAAAACCGCCTTAATTTACTGTGTAAAGTTATTAAGATCCATTAAGATATTTTAGTTGCAAAAGTAAAAAGGAACATGGGATCTAAAACCATTGTCAACATAAAACACAAAATTCAAAATGAGATCATAAAGTCATAAATGTTTTATTGATTAAATCAGAGCCACGCCTCAGTGTGACCTAATCTGGCCGTATACTGCCTGCATCTGCAGATCAATTGATTTTTTGGATGTAATGGAAATGAATACACACAGAAGACTAATCAGTCCCAGTGACAGCATAACTGGCTCCAGATGCAGACAAGTACATCAAATACAGATTTCGTTGTTATTCAGTTTTTTGCTTTATTTAATTATTTACCGATTACAAAAAACACACGGTTAAAGTAAGAGCTGTTTGGGTACCATGACTGGAAGGTACACAAGATTGGGCAGATGGTTTTAATGTTGTGGCCAGTCTAGGTGTGTTAAGTTTTACTCAGTAATTAGAAGAACATTTAAATTCATTTTGTTCCCCTGTGCTGTTGGACCGACCTTGTCTGTCTTTGTGGTCTCGTCCTTAACTATGGTCCACAACTGTCCATCATCACTGTGGGCGACTTTGAAGGCTGTGACAAACTGGACAGAGCCAAAGTCTTTGGCTCCCTGTGTGATGATTCCTGTGATCCTCTTGGTAGACTGAAGGTCAACCTGAGGTCATAGACAAAAGAAAAGAACCTTTACATGAGTAGAATGCATTAAATAAAAACCAGTGTGCAACTCTGGCCAGTCTTCTCCCACCTGTATCCACTCAGATCGGTTGTTGGTAGCAGCAGTCCAGGCGTTGGTCTTGCCCTGTTTGTCCAGCCGGGCGTAGTGAGGGTGCCAGGTGAAGGCCTCAATGCCCCAGGTGCGGAAGGTGCTGGAGGCTGTAATCTGGCGATCAGACACCAATCTGGACTTCATGCCCATTGGCTCTGAACAACCTGAAGCGTTTGAATACACTGTGGAGGTGAGACCAGGCAGAGAAGAAGAGACAAAGGAAAGAGAGAAAAGAGGAATGGAAAGAAAGAAAGAAAGAAAGAAAGAAAGAAAGAAAGAAAGAAAGAAAGAAAGAAAGAAAGAAAGAAAGCATGATAGACAGAGGACGGAGAGGAAGCAGCCCAAGGCCAGCCAGTGATGCAAAGCGACAGACAAATGAGCAAGGACAAAATGTGGGTGTTTCTCAACTCTTTGTTGCGGCTGGCTGGAATCATTTATATTTCATAATGTATTGACCTAACCCTTAGACCAACTACATTTCTTCTACAAGACAGTCTTGCTATTTAGCTGCCATTTTAGGCTAACAACATTGGGCTTTTGTCTAAATGAATGTTTTAATTTCATGGGGACATAAAATCATATACTTGGAGTGCCTGGCTCAGCTCACCAGAGCACTGCCATGTTTGTTCACACCAAGGATAAAGCAAGCTAAAAAAAACCCACTACATACACTTGCCTTCATCTTCATTATGAATACTATTAGTTAAGCCCACCAACCCGCAGTTTAAAATTACATGAGCTTCAACTCTGAGCATGCAACAAGATGAATGGCTTATTAGTTTTTTGGTTTTGCTGGGCCCAAAGATTTCTACTTTTCTTTGTTCTATAACGTCTCTGCTCTTACCCAATCACACCTGAGGCTGACAAACACCCACTGGATGAGGAGAACATTAGGTTTTACAGTGACTGGAGGTCCACAGTATTCTTACTTTATGTAATTTTACATGTGCAGAATAAAGACCTTAAAAAAAAAGAAAAATGCGTGGAGCTCAGTGTAATATTTAAAGGCTGTAACAGACTTTTAATGAGTGATGGGTTAGTGGAACAGCTGAGCATGCATGTTAAATGAACAGGGGTCAAAGCTGCATGAAAAATATTTAGCACAAGCACCTGAATATTAAAACAGCATCTTTACAGTTGAGCTGATTCACTCAACAGCGTTGAAGCAAGTCAGTGAATGTAAAACAAACAGTGCTAGATTAGGTAATGAGCATTTTGCATTAAAGTGAATGTGAAAGTATTAGTATGTTGTAAAGTGATTAAACCAAAAACACATGCTGGTCGGGATCTCGTGTTACACAACTGTGGAATCATGCAGAAACTGAAGTTCAGTGGAAGAAGAACACACACTGATAAGAGACAACAAAGGGAAACAGATGTCTGACAGTGCAACGAGGCCAGCAAGACTGAAGGAACTACATGATAATGATAAAAGGAAAAGAAAGATGAATATGCTTCTACTGAAATACAGAAGACTTCAAAGAACCACATGTTACATCAGCCTCCTGGGGTGACAACATTGGGACGATGAATATGATGAGTCTTTTACCAATTAGCATCCAATATGTTGCGGTATATATAATCATATGGTTTTAATAAATTCTTTAGGGAACATCTTAGACTCAGACAGCACACAGCTGCGTTCAGAGCTGGCAAAGAGTATTACCCTGCGCATGACATCGTTTGATCATAATTAACCGCTCAATGCAAAACTGAAATAATTAGTGACAAAACATAGGAGATAAATGCCAGCAGAAAAAAGGCTGTTGGATTTCCCTTCCTGAAAACTTCCTCCCACATTAAGCCTGCATGTTAAAAAGCTTCTTTCAGTCACTAACAAACCTCAATAAACTGAGAACCTAACATGTGTGCGCGGCATGTGTAAAGCGGATGTTTTCTTTGTGAATTTACCGTTGAGTTCACAGCCCACCAGCTCCATGCGCAGAGTGCAAGCCTTACGACACACAACGGGAATGATGCGGATGTACTGGGCAATGATCGGGGGGTCAAAAATGTTAGTCTTGGTGCCGTCATTGTCCATGTTCCCCACAAAAATCTAGGAGAGAGGTGGGAGCAAGCAAACTGTGTCAACTGCACCATCAGGTGAGTGTTAGCAACCATTGTTAGTAGCTTTGTGACCTATCTTGAATAAACTTCTGCTTTCAAGCTGATGCAGTCAAAAGTGTGGCATTATAGTAACCGTAGAGTATTACCAGATTTATCTGTGTGATGTGTGATGTGTGATATATTATTTATTTGTAAAGGAAAGTCTTTTATCACTGTGGAATCTGTCTTGTTTGGAACAGTTACTGCAATTCTAACATAAAGCAATGGAAACCAGACTTTTCAACTAGAATACTGTGTGCTTTATTCTTCTGTTGCCTTACATAGTCTTTTCTCTGTCCATCTGTTCTGTACATGGTGTATGTCCTGCCGTCCAGGCTGGAGGCCACCTTGAAGGCCTTGATAAACTCAGCTGTGCCCATGCGACTGGCGCCCTGTGTCACAATTCCTGTGAAGCGCATCTTTCTTTGCATGTTGATCTGGAAATGTAGAAATGGATGATGGTAAGATGAGTCTCCCTTCCCTTTAAATCAAATAGTTTTCAAAATCTCAAAAACATAAGAGGTAAAATGAAGCAGTCCAAACAAAAAGCTCTGCATACTGTGAGAATATGTTAAAAGTTTATGATTGAAATGCATTTGTTCTAAATCTCGATGATTCCAGACCCTAATTTCTCACCAGCCTTTATTTATTATTGTCAGTCTACATGGTCAGTTTTCTAACTGCCTGCGTTACACTCATAATCTACTGTATAACTATTCTCACTTGTATCCATGGGTTCTTGTCATGTGCAGCAGCACTCCAGGCATTAACCAGTCCCTTGTTGTGGAGGCGGGCAAGCTCAGAGCCCCAGCGCTGCAGGCCCAGTAGGCTGTAGCGGACTGATGAGGCTGAGATCTGTGACTCGGCAATGCCCCCTCCCTCCATGCCGAGAAGAGAAATACAGCCTGAAGAAAGAGCCTGGAGTTAGGTTAAAGTTTATTTCCATTTCATTTCTGTTTCTGAGATATGGAGCTGAATAAACATTATGTCACAATGCAGTCTTCACGTTCTTCACGTGGTGCGAAGCCTATGAGATAGTTTTACTTTTACTACGCCTCACTCCCCAGTATCATACCAGTCTTGGGGTCTGATATGTCAGCAGTGCTGCTGCCCTGCGTGGCTACCTGCTGATTCAACTCCTTCACAACCCCAGCATCCACCTGTACTAGTAATCAACCTAATTTATATAGGTGACATGTCTGTGTTGGTAATGTAATTGGCAGCTAGAGGCTCTATAGAAGATTTTCTGCTGTTGCTTTTTAATTCTTCACTTATAACCAAAATTGTGTTTTCTTTGACAACAAAACTGAAATTAGTTTATTATTTATTTATTAAGTCCAAGTGAATGTCTGTATCAAATCAGTACCAACAACACATTTCTCAAGTATCATATTCAGAAGAATTGGCTCAAGGGATGAAGAACTCCCCCCAAAATTCTGCATCTGACGGTCACCAATGGAGAGGCATGTAAAAAGTCAGTATCTGGTCTCACACACGTGATGTGTATGCATAACTTTTACTAGCCTGAACCATAAAATCATTAGGGATGCAGAGCACTGAATCAGCCTAATTGAACAAAGCATTGATTTCGCATTTTGAACAGACCATCTTTATGTTGAGCATTGATCATCATAAAACCCCAGCAGCTTGGCCACCATCCCCTATCCTCTTTAGTGTCGTGCACTTCCTTTAATCACAGTGCTTCTGTTACATTAGCAATATTAAAGCTAAGAAGATATGGAGTTTTTTTATTGCCATCTAAAAAATGTCTTTGTTTTTTAGCTATTTATCCCTCAAAGCATTTTGTCATACCAAGTGCTTGTCTGACACTTACGAAGTTGGCAGTGTTTTCCTACATAAGGGGAAGGGCAGTGGCATTTGAAATCTCCATCCAGGTCTCTGCAGGTACCGCCATTCTCACATGGCTGTCCAGCGCAGTCATTTACATCTACAGGGAGATAAATCACAGTCAGTGTTGTTACAGGACAGGTCAACTATAGGTAAGTTTAAAAGCAGATTATGGTTAGAAGTGTGAGTGAGCTGCATATCATGCTTGAGAAACAGAGTTCAATATTCAATCATCTGATTTACAGTAAGGTCACCTCATGCTGTGCCAGCAGAACTGGAGCTGTAGAGAGGTTAGTGAGACGAGCTTAGTCCTAGGTCAGAAAATGCAAACTTGACAGATATATTTGACATCAAAGAGACTACTGCACATGAGATCGTGTGTTTTAGGTGTAGATTATAAAACAAATCTCCCAGAAGTAAATGTGTCATTATAGGAAATCTCTGACTCCATTTTTGGATGCTCAAAGTAGAATAGATGATCTTCTGGAGAATCATTTCAGTGCCTTGAATGTGTTCATTTTGCTGTAATTCTTTGCATCACCTCTTGATGGTACCCTTACAAACATTATGTGTCCCACTTAAAAACTGTAACACAGAGAGGGGGACAAATCAGCAAAATGAAAATGGGACTAAACTCCTTTTCATCTCACCCACCACAACTGTCAGTGTGACTAAACCGGCACTGAAGGCACTCTATATTGACCACATTCAGGACCAAGGCACAAATGATGCTGGTTGTACAGATGACTGCACACAAAAAGCAGAATTTCAGACCAAATCTCTAAAGCTTTAATCCTGAGTGCTTGTTATTACGCAGGGAAATGCACGCAAACAACTCAGCACATTGATGTAATGTTTCTAACCAACAAACACGCACACACAGCAGCATCTTCCTGCCCACATGCTCTCTCTATAAATAGCTCTGTGTCCAAACATTCATTTTCAAACGTCACAGGAGGAATATATAGTCATTTTGAAATGTGCATCCGCAAACTCTGGATAATGAGGTCCACAGCTGTGACACTTCTAGCTCGGGGAGCTCATCACATAAAACTGACTATTTTAGCAGCTGAATATTTTAAACGCATGTTGCAAATAGCCTCTTAGATCACTTTGTTGTTGTGAAAAAAAAATGTTAGCAGCTACCTCTGTCTATATCCAGGCATGCTGGTATTTCCTGTATCAGAGCACTTTTACATTTTACTATAACAATTTATTACAGCATAATTGTTTTTCATTATTATTATTGTTTTATTTTTTTTACATGCACTGGATCGTTACAACATTCGAAACTACAGAAACAGAAAAAAGGAAAATAAAATAAAATGTGTAGGATGAATGTAGCACATGGTGTATGAATACTTGCACTTTGCTAATTCATGGGTAGAAACAGTCAAAAGTTAAAGGTCAATCTTCCATTTTTATTTACTTTAAAACTTATTTAAAATCAGACAGCTGTTTTCTGGGGCGAGAGGATTTGTGGGGACAAACTGAGTTCTTGTCACAAATACCGGTAAGTGAGATGATCTGTGAGGTTTCAAAGAAAACAAACCAGACAACATTAGTAAGACAAACTCTTGTCAAGTTCTGAGGAGCGTCAGCTGGTGGCCCTCCTCCTGTAAGAGGATTGAGGACCAGGAGGACCACACAGCCTTGTCAGATCCAGGCGCTAATCCATTTATCCATCTATCTGATAAAAGGGGGAGGAAAGAAGAGAGGGAGAAAACAGGCAAGGGAAATGTTGCAAAATGTATGACCTGCACGACTAAAAGAAAAACAATACTGACTGTTCTGTGTGTAGTAGCATCCCAGTATCAGCTAACTGTTTGTACATATAGATTTTAGTGGGACGAGTGCGTGGTAGCTAAACAGGCCAGCTCTCTATGGCTGGGATCCAACAAACCCTATCACGTTTAAGGGAAACGGCACACTAGCACAATATTTAGAGTGTCAATATCTGTCTCAGCAGGAAGCGAAAACCAATAGAGATCTCACGTGGCTTGTTTGAAATCTGACCCTGATCGAAGCACAGCCAAGGTCCGCTGGCAGCGCTTTGTGGTGATCACCAAAGCTGTCTGCATCCTGGATCTGTGCTGCAGCAGAGTGGGATGAGGTGCCAGCTTGCATCTGACAGTCCAAACCTGCTTTGGAGTTACTCTTTTAAAAGTGTCGTGTTCTCCATACCTCACAGTGTGAGACTAGACCTTACAAGGTTCTCAAAGTGAGCTCTGAAACTAAACGATTGATGTGATTTTACAACAAAACAGAAACCCTTCTCCACAAAGACAAAGAGTAGCAACACACCAAGGACGTTACTTAAGAACCTTCTGAAACTTATTTATATGAAACTGCTAAACTCAGTATAAATGCTAGCAACGTTCGACCTTATGATTTTTATGAAATTTAGCACAACTATTAAACAGGAACAAAGTCATTTATTCAAACTAAAGCCAACATGAAGTGACAAGATTACATATTTTAATCACTTCTCATACTGTTGCCATGGTACAGTAACCAAGAGCTGCTCTTAACCTCAGTGGCATTATTAAATTTTAAAAAAAGGCTGAAATGTGTTATTTTCTGTGTGCTGTGAACTGAACAGACTGTTATAGCACAGCCTATAACAGTCTGTCCCACCATAACACCAAAGCTTCTATAGTGAAACATTTTACTATCTATATTACTGCATCTCCACACTCTTGTATGATGTATTCATTATTCATGACTTCATGTCCTTGTGGCTTAAAAGAAAAAAGAAAAGAAAAGGGGAAGTTTGACGGATTTCAAGGTTCCCTGCAAAACCCTTCTAAAGTTAGAAGTAATCTAAAGTTAAACACCACATTATATTTACATATTTACACAAATGTGGTTGGTGTACTTTCTTGAGGATCTTGGGCAAAGCCACTCGACTCACTACAATTTCAAATAAAAACACAGCAGGCTCCTCTAATCTATCATAACTTCATGGGTGAATGCCATAAGTCTAGTTTTTTTTAAAGCCAACTCGCTTAATAAAATTTTAAGTATTACTCAAATATGTATACTTATTTAGTGGACGGAGAATGTTTTACTTTTGACAAATTCCTTTTACTTTAAAAATAACTTAATGTCAAGAACTAATATAAAAAAAATACATAATTTTACTTCACTTCATCCATCCAAGCTGTAATGTCTTTATTTTCATGGAAGCAACCTCTATGGTTAATTGTGACTACCCACCTTTACTAGTCTGTTTGTTTTTTACCTGTGAGGCTTCAGCCTCTTATCAAAACACCTGACAGCTGTGTCGTGATTCTTAAGAGCATGTAGTGATTCCACATAAGCTGCTTTGAGTTCCTATTAGGTCAACAGGGTTTCTTAAATGCAGACTGTAGAGAACCAAAAAATATATGCCAGGCACAACAGAGTTCATGACGGCACAAACACACATGAAACACACACCCTGTATTCCACAGGGGGCATGTGTCCCAGACTGTCCGCACCACCACATCCTGGGAGGAGTTGAAAACTCTCCCAAAACAAATGAGAGATCAGAACACTCATAGACACACCCTTTTCTGGCCTCCGCACTGATTTCCAAGAAGTCGGAATAACTGTTCGGAAATGTGGGATTTAAAGACTGTAAGAAGAAAAAGACTCTTTCCCGTACTGTTTGCATTAATCTGCTTCGGTCTGAAGTGAAAAGCATTCAACATCCTTCTCTCTCTCTCTCTCTGCATCTCTATAACCCCCCACCCCCTCCCCGCCACCACACACACACACACACACACACACACACACACACACACAAATTCTGTACAACCCATAAAGGCTTTTAGGCCAATTTGATAGGACAATCAGAACTGCTGCAGTCAGACCTGAGTAGTGAGTGTGACATTGTAAGGAGGGCAGACTTAATTCACTGTTCCGCCTCCATGTTCGCTTTTTCACCCGGCAACAGAAGCAGCGCTGACGTTGCTAGCACTCAGCATGGACCGCCACTTTCTGTTGGCTAGACTGGCACGAGGGATAAACCATGTGTGTGTGTGTGTGTAAGTGTATGCTAAACAGTCTGTACATGAGATCATGAGCTGCGTGCGGCTGTTCATGTGGGATGTGCAGCCCACACGTGATTAAGCTGTTTTCCAGTAGATTTCTTGTTCCTTTGATGTGTTTCTCAAAATAATTTTAGGCTGCGAATCTTGAAGTGGAGTTGAATGGTGCCATTTTGTACCCCCCATTCCCCGATCAGCCAATCTTCCACTTCTTTTCTGTTTCTATTTATAGTATTTTTTTTCCATGCAGTAGTTTGTGTGCGAACATCATCTCCTACATCTGGCTTCCAGTTTGCTGACACCTGCTTGTCAGGCTTTGAGCTTGACTGCTTTCTGATTAGCACCATCACTCCAATCACAGACTCCCATGCATTACCAATCCTATACAGCCTCACATTTCTGAATATTTTATTTTTCTGAAGTTCTGGCCTCATATTTCTGTCTGAATGTGCAAGTGTGAAGTGAATGTGAGAATGTTGGCTAAATGTTTAACTACACTACATCCCTGGGTTCACCACAGTCACCGGTTTTCTTCTTCCAGACTCCTTTTGCTTCACACAAACCATAGGAGCTGGCTGCCATGGTAGTTACTCCTTGCCCACACACACAGACATATTTTAGAGCACTTAAACTGTCAAACAAGTCATCAGAAGCTGTAAAATGAGGGGGACCTTTATGACCCAGCAGTCCTCAGGGGGGCTCTCAAACAGACATGGTCAAATAAATTCCACTCCTCATTATCCCTGAGGCATCATCTAATTAGTGTAAATGCCTGCCCCATGGAGGGCTCATACTCTGGCAGCTTAGCTAACATTAACTGCCAAATGACTTGTGAATGTATAGATTTTGATGAGCTCTGATTTGTGGTTTTTGAGGGGAAAAGAAAACAGAAACAGATTCCTTGGCTATGGTTTCTTAAATGAAAAAAAGAATGTCTTGAACTTAAATATACTCTGGGGACTGTAAATTAAAATAGATGAGAACTTGGAAGCAACCTAATTGACTCAGCGGGAATGATGCACAGCTTCACTGATATCTGAGCAAATGTTTTAGTATAACAAGACCCATCCCATCAGGGTGGCTGAACTGATTAAAAGTTGGTGGATCTAATGCTACAATGATATCACTGCTGTTTTTGTGGTTGGCCTTGATTCATAAAGGACTATTTGTGCTGAGTTAGAGATAATGCTGAACTCAGCGGTTCCTTGTCTATAAGTGTATCTGTGAATGTAGCCAAATTCCTCAGCCTCCACATGCAGCCAGAGCGAACAGAGAGAAGTTGGATCCAAGAAGGAAAAGAGATAAAAGTGCAGCAAACACTCCTGTTTTCACTGTTACCTTTCTTTGAATTTAAATCTGCACCTTGGACACCTAGGACAGAAAAGCACACAGGTTCACACAAAAATACACTTTGAAGGTCTGACTTGCAAATGAGCTCTTTGAGCACGTGTGGTAACTGTCACTCTGCTGCCTTCTCCTGCAAACAGTAACCATCTGTCTGTGTGTGCAGGGGTGGAGGCAGCTGCAGGAGCGCAGCACGTTCCCATCCTTGTTTCGACTCTTTCAGGCTGACCCTGTTTAAAGCAACCTGGTCTGAGTGACGTCTGAAAAAGGATGACAACTGTCGGTCTGGTGGCCAGTACTCACAGCAGCTGTCTCCATGTTAGCGTATCACATTACACTGATCAATGTGGACGTCATTACACGTGCTAGTTAATGGCATGGCAAAGTATGTACTGCTGGTAAAAAACAAACAAACACACACACACACACACACAATAGTAGCACAGTGGCAACACTGAGACTTAGGTCTGCTTATTACAATTTTCTCCACAAGTAAGCATCAGTAGAAGTCAAAAAAACTCTTCCAACATCCATTTTTTTTCAATTTTCATTCATAGTTGGCCTTCATTAAGTAGAGTTATTACACTACAGCAGCTCTACAAGGCCCACAAAAAGCCTGCCAGTATTTTATATTTGCAACCTACAACAGTCAAGAGGGAGCACAAACTTACTGTTCTGGCAGTGAACTCCATCAAAGCCTGGCTGGCATTTGCAGACATACTCGCTGAAGACATCACCTCGGCGGGAGTGGCCCGTCACCTCACAGATGGCATCATTCTTACATGGATTGGGGTTGCAAGGTCCTTTGGGTATTGAAAAAAGAGCCAAGTTTAACAGAGTTTAAGCAGTGTTCTATGTAATTTTTTAATGAAAGGGGTTTAACCTTGATTTAACAAAATTAAACTTGGGCTTCTGAAGTGGGGTATGCCAGAAAATGTTTAAGGAAAAACTAAGCAGTAAACTGTGAATCAGTCATCCTGCAGAGGCATAACATACCAGACTCAGTCTCATTGCAGGTTTCTCCAGAGAAGCCATCAGGACAGATGCAGATGAATGGAGACCCTGCCCCGGTCACACAGGTCCCACCATTAGTGCACACGTTCACCTCACAGAAATCACCTGCATATAGAGTGGAACGGTGGCAAGTTGAGTACTACATTTAAAATAAACTACTCTGCACAAGAACTGATAAAAAAGTACGTTCTTCTAGTGGGGAAATTGAATTTGATTTTTTTTAATGAAGCCAGCGGTGGTTTATTTGCTTCATTTCACATTTATAAATGCTTGACAGTTTACTTTTTCCCCTCAGCAAACATCTGATATCTCCAGGAGAATATTTCAGGACAGAAAATATGCTCACATACAGTAGGCAGGTTTAGCATTGGCTTTATGCGTCTTTACAATGAAGAAGCTATCCCTTTTTCACAAAGGAGTAGCTCCATATGTTAACATATTTTTAATAACAGATGCCTTCCTGACACAACCCCAATTGGATTTTTTGGTCTCGTCTTCCTTACAACAGGGATCCTTCACTGTTAGGTGTATGTGCAAACCACCACACTATGGAGCCACTATACATGTTTTTACTAATATTAAATTTTTGCTCATTTTTTAGCATTACAACTATAGTCTGAAGCCATTCAGTAAGAGTGTAACAACAATTAAACAACTAAAATGATGTTGTTCTGTTATCATATTTCCATTCTATTCCCATATTGTGTTTCTGAAGAGTAAACACCATGCTGCAGGCTGGAAGTGAGGGTTTTAAAAAGCTGAGTAAGCCATCACTACACTGTAAACACCACACAAACACTGGATGCTTCTACCAGAGTGTAACTGCTGCCAAGCCTGGACCTGACAATCTGGCTGCTCTCTGGGCATGAGGGAAATCATGTCAGTTAGTGTTCGGCGGAGGGGGAAAAAAGAAACAGAGGGTTTGTTGTGGTGTTTTAAGAGCATCATGACTGAATCAGGTCTGATTTACTCGCAGAGTTTTAGTCCAACAAAAAAGGGACGCCTCTAATTCAAACTATATGTTACGTCTATTTGAGAATTACACCAGTGAAAAAAGTACAGTGAATTAACAATGAGCAAATGGGTATTTTACTTCCTGCATGCTCTATCAAAGCGCTTTTTCCTCCTCCTAAAGCAAACTTAGCGAGAAAGCATCTCACACAGCCATCAGCCCTTTATAGGGTTTAAATAACAAACCACATGTAATGACAATTTTCTGCAAATTGATACATAGTATTTTGGAAATCAACTTTAAAAATGACAACTCTATATAGCTATTTTGACACTTCGAATAATACAGAGGAAGTCAATGATTTAGCGTCTTATAACACCCAAGAAGACAGAGATGCCTTTTTAAGCAAACACTTTATCATCATTTAGATAATTGTTAAGGAAACTGAGGTTGGACCCCTTGAGACAAACTAGTGGTTTAATCACCACAGAGTCTGCCATACAGGCTAAGAAAGGAGTTCTGACCCTGTGTTTTGGTGGAGGGAATAAATATTTTTCCCCGCCTTCTAATATAAAGTTAAAGAACTGCATTTTAGCTATGCTGAGGGTATAATTATCATAGGCCACAGGGCCATAGCTAAAAATGGTATTTTGGAGAGACTAAATTTAATGCGCAAGGCCGCATGCTTCTAATGTGATCACACACATCCTTAGTTGTTCTTAAAAACAAAAACAAAACACAGAGTAACTTATTCAGTGCAAACTCTAGCCAACGTCGGAAGCACTACTCTTCAACGTGCACAAATGAATATTGTGTAGTCTGAGTATTGCGTAGTCACTTATGACAATATGGACCTCATTTGTTATTACCAGCAAACAGCACTGAGGGAATTGCAAGAATCAGATCCATTTTACAAACATCCTGTTTGACTGTTTATCCATGAAGTGCCCAGCCCACGAATATCCCGGGTTATCTGTGCTGCATCCAGTGTCACGGCCCTTGAGTGCTTTCACATCTCGTGGGATTCTTAGGAAACAGGCCTGCCTGGCAGCACTAACAAATCCTTATCAAACAAAGTTGCTGCCTGTTTATCTTTGGGAAGGAACACATCCTCCCTTCCTCTGGAAACCCAACAGATAAAAATGAATAACAAAATATGTTTACAAAAAATCAAATAAAGTTTGCAACCATCGGCATTTTATCTGTCTGTTTGTGGTATGATTTGACTTATTCAGCTGAAAATCTGCCTGGGTGTATTGAGGAAATGAAATTAATGACGCATCAAGTTAATGTGGTCCGCAAAGAGGCAGTGACCCAACCTGAAAAAAATCCCTACAATGACACCGTTGTCAGTAAAAGTCACTTTACTGATGAGTGAAATGAGTGAAACTTTTGTTGTTCACACCTATTCATTTTAAGTATAATGAAATTGAAGAGTCACGAAGCAAACAAGTCATGGCTCTGAACTTAACCAGTTATATAACATATTGTTATATGCTGTGCAAATGCAACCACATGAACCCCAAGCTCTGTTATACTCTTCCAAGATACTTAAATCTTAAAAATATGTTTAAGTAAATGTTTTCTGTACTACAAGAGTACAGATATAGATGCATAATATTTGCTACAGTTATTAATGCAGTGAAAAAACAAAAAAGTACACCACTTCTACAAGTACCCAACATGGTGCCCCACTAAATCTAAACCACAGTGACAGATCAGGAAGGTATGTGGAGTGATGTTTGGCTGGAAAACCCAATTCCACAGGGCATTGTTTCTCTCACTTTTTATGAGTCACTGTCTGTGCCTTTCCCATGATGCCCCAGCCCTAGATTGAGGTCCAAACAGGGAGTTGGCTTTGGTATGAGCGTCTGTGATAAGTGTTGTGTTTACTTGGGGGGGGGGGACCAACAGATATTTCCCACATCACAGAAGGAGGAACCTTTACAGTTAACCAGCAATCTCAGTCAATCCTCTGTACCCTCTGATCACTATACAATTCAGATGGATAGACTGGAAAGAAGATGAGCACTTAACAAGGATGAGTAGGCTCCACAACAAGGGACTTTTTGGACTTACTGCATTTAATGTGCACCTTGAATGAGGAAGAAGACAGAGGAGTTATTTGAGGACATTAGGAATGTGGTGGACAAACTGAGGACACTTAATGAGTCCTCAGTTTGTCCACCACATTCCTAATGTCCTCAAATGACTCCTCTGTCTTCTTGAGGTAACATAAAACTCTGGCCTCCGCACTGATGTCCGATCCATTTGTATTCCAAACTTAATCATTTGTGGGGACTGCACAGAGCATGCCATTTGCTGTGCACAAAATACACATAGCCAAGGGCAAAAAGTTTCTTTCATCCAAATTACCCCTGAGTTATCAAAGGAGACTTGGAGAAAAAAAAAACAGTGGTGCACAAAACATAATACACTTAGACAGGTTAAAAAGACATTAAGGAATTACCTTATTAAATGTATTCAAAACAGGAGCTATCTGCAGCCATATGGAAGTAACTTGACTGTGGTCTGAGGGGTGATTAGTCTCATAAGCTGTATGTTAAGTGCAAAGAATGAGCGAGACCTGTCAGAGGTCAGGGGTTTGGAAGTCAATAATCTCAAAGGTAATGTCTCCATACTGTTGATATGCATGGTGAGAACAGAAAAACAGAACAGAAAAAAGAAGCGGACATGAGAAGTTGTTTTAGTGCAGGACAGAATGCAGCAAGGCACTGATACCAGTGTGTTACTGACGATATAACAACCTCATTTCTGGACCCAGGCATCTCCTCGACTGTGTGAGGCTCACAGCATTTCAACATGATGCTGTCAATGTTTCACTGTGGATATCATGCTAATACCAAACCATGCAGCAACATATTAACATGAGATCATGTCATGGATCTCAGGCGTTCTCTGTGGGGTTTTTTGTTTTGTTTTTTGTGTTCTTGCCATATGCCATAAGCACTCGTCCACTGTGGACCCTCAACATGTAGTTCTATTGAGAACCCTCCAAATGTTACTAGTATTTCGTTTTCTGGCTTTGTTTACATGCAAAGTTATATAAGTGCTGTACTTTCAAAAAACAAAAACAAAAAAAAACTTAACCTTTACATCAAAAACAGGCTCACCTTCAAATATCATACAAATCTACAAAAAACAGATTTAAATACAATCATCTTTACACGTTAACTAACTGGTTCATTTACCGTTAACGTCTCATGCCACTAAACCTAGCAAGCCTTGGTTTAGTTTACTATAACACCTAGGAGAACAGCTACGCTGATTGTTCTAATGGAGCTAAAAGAATTCAGACCATTTTTTAAACTTTCAATGGCGTCTCAGTGCTCATTTTCTATTGGGAATTGGAGGACCATTTGGACTCAGAAATGGCTAATGGTGTTGGTCTTAACAACTGGACTGAAAAGGTCCTGGGGTTTGAAAACAGCAAACATGCTGTACGCTGCTCTGACGTCCACACACTGGCATGCCAGGTCATACAGGCTGGCAGGCGAGTGTGGGAACTCAGTGTACCAGAAGGAGAAAAGCTTACATCATGTCCAAACACACACACACACACACACACACACACACACACACACACACACACACACACACACACACACACACACACACGTCCAACCCTTGTTAAAACAGTTAAGGATGTGCTGAACTATAATAAAAATTCCTGTAGTACTGAGTGCTCAAGGAGCAAGCAGGGGAAACCTAAACACACAGGAAGTGGATGTGTTATGGCTGCCCAAAGAAGGTCCTGTGATAACCCAAGCCTTTTCAATATTAAGAATCAGCGGGACTCCAGCTGCAGGTGAGGTTTCTGTAATCTGCATTTGCTATTCTAGAGCACAGCCATCTGCTACTGCTCCCAAGAAAACAACAACGAAGGCCAGCCGCTAAAAATACACACTCAAACACACAGGCACACACGAGTCATGCACCATCAACAAAACAACACGCTCGTCTGTAGCTGACTACAGCTGAAATAGAGATAATAACTCCATAGTAACAACAGTCTTAACTGGATTACTCATTGGAGATGTAACCTTTGTGGCAATACCGTCAATAATTTGGCGTTCTTTTCTCCGACCATATGAATACAAAAAGTTTGTATAAACAACTCCTGATCTTGGATGCAAATCCCATCAATTTTCTACTTGGCTCCAGTGCTGAATGCACAAAAGACAGCGTGTAAAATATTCAGCATGGCAGATTGGAAAGTGGGGCGACAGACACTAATAACGTGTCCCGAATTAGATGATATTCCATATTGTTATGAAACATTGATTAAGGAAGCTATTCAAAATTCATATGGAATTTAAAAAAAAGAAAGAAAGAAAGAAAGAAAGAAAGAAAGAAAGAAAGAAAGAAAGAAAGAAAGAAAGAAAGAAAGAAAGAAAGAAAGAAAGAAAGAAAGACACTGTCCTGTCCCCAAGGGAGATGAATAAACTCCAAAAGCAAAAAAAAAAAAAAAAAAAAGGACATAGAATATATAAAATCTGACAGATGTTGTCCTCCAAAGCTCTGTGTTGGACCAATGCACAGCCATGCCAGTCCCCCAAGACAAAGGATGTGTATAAAACACGGATGTAGATTGTGAAAAGTGAACCAAACTGAACTGTCTTAAATCTGTACTTTTTCATGGCCATCAAGGGAGAAACTGATGAGTTTTCATAAATATTCCCAGTCCTATAGAAGTCTATGGGAAACACTTTCCTGGTGAGTTTATATTAAAAAGCAAAAAAAAAAAGAAAAAAGAAAATAGTCCATCTATCCATCCAGTAAATTTAGTTATGCTCATTCTAAAAGCCAAAAAGTTTATCCAGGGTATGCTCACTGGGTAGCAACTTTTCAATCACAAGTTGTTAGCCAATAACAACAACAACAACTAACTACTAAGTAAGTAGAACCTTTTTAGCAGAGTCAGACCAAAATATATGAAAAGGTAATAAATCCAATGTGCACTGTTATGAAAAGCTGTTTCTTTTATATTACTATTATTATTTCAACACAACCATGCAGAAAAAGTGAGAATGGGCTGGAAAAAGATACTTGGGTAAAAGTAGTAATGATGCAATCAGAAAGTGCGTAAAGAAGTCCAGAAGGTCAATATACAATAAAAGATATTCCATGGGTTATATGTTCTTTAATACAAAATAAGATGTTAATTAATATTAATAGCAGAAAAATATTGAAAAATTTAAAAAAAAATAAAATATATATATATATATATACATAAATAAAAACAATCCTAACTAAATTATTCCGGAAAATCTCTTCGTGATTTTTTTTCTGCAACTTCGAAGAAGGAACATCATCACTTTAACAGGAAATTAAACTCCTTGTTGAGATCAGATATCTCACATTTAGTAAGACCAATATCTACCTGATCTATTAGCAATTATCTCAGACTCACAAGAAAATTTGTAAAAGGAAATTATTCATACACACCTGCCAACATGCACAAGTTATACATATACACACACAGTGTCCTGACTATATTTAGCCCTGGTTCCGTCAGCTATCCTAAGTGGTCTTGTCATGAGAAAAAGATTGCCTCAGCTCTGACAGAACTCAATTTACCACTTGTCTAATGAAGAAGACAACCAAAGCACAACCTGCTGAAATGAACCTAATCAGGTCAAACGCAGAGTGGGAAAAATCCACTCAGCTCTTATTATGGCCTCTAAACATTTTGCATGACACAGCAGCAACAAGTCCCCCCCCTTCATTGCTGTCTGTAGCAGAGATTTGAGCAAGCGCTGGTGTGGGTGGAAGTTCGCTGGCACGCTAGGATCTGGAAAATTGACTTCACATTGTGGTTGGGTTAACTACACCTTTTCTCTGCAGCTGTCCTGTCTGTCAGTCTTGAGGACTAAGAGAACACGGAGATGTGCACTTCACTTCATTCATTTCGGTTTTAGCAACAGACGTAGAAATGTTCATGAAACATTTGTGCAATACTGCACCTGGGATAAGTAAGAGGAGTTGCTTATTATCCATTAATTTCACTATCCTTCAAGTCAGAAAAAATATGGTTCTCTTAACTACCAAACAGAACATATCTTCAATTATGTCTTGCTTTTTCCACAGCATGTGTTTCCACACAATTGATGAGCGAAAGCACTAAATCTACAAAACAATACAATAAAACTCACTAAGAAGCACTTAAGCACAATGTGTAGTTCGGATGTTATATTATAAGCAAAGCATAATGCATAAAGTATCTATTATAGGATTCATGTTGGCTCGTCACCAAACACAAGCACCATAGACACAGCCAAGGCACACTCTGTTTCTTCTGGCTCAAAACAGCTAGGGGAGGGGAGACTTACACATAACAGCTAGTTCAGTCCACCTTCAGTAAAGCGAATGAGTCTTTGCTACTTTGACAGGAAACAAAAGTGTAATTTCCTGATATTTCTAACTATCTTACAAAGAAAAGCATGGTTTATGCATTAGTAAACTGCAATTTAAAAAGTACAATGCTGGTGATTTACCTCTGGCTCTGAACAAAATCTCTGGTGGGTGTCAAAAGGCAGGAAAAACTCTTGACACAGAAGCATTAGGCAGATAGTGAAACCATGACAAGTACAACAGTCATGCTATACTGTGAAAAAAGTAGCCACTTCTACGCTTCTATTTTCAAATCAATCTAACTCTGTTCTTTATTAGTTTATTTTTATGCTTTCCAACATATTTTCAAATACATCTGTAAAGAAGAAGAAACTGCTTTGACCTGCTCTGATACTGAGTTTCAATCCCTCAGGAGGACTAAGCCAGTGGCTCACTGACAGCTGAATAGACTATAAATCAAAATGTTTAATCTGGAAAGCAATGTACTATTACACAACAGTAATCCAAGTTATGAATTTCCCTTTTTTTTCAATATGCAAATGGTGGAAAATGATCCTTTTTTTTCTTCCTTTTTTCACATTTGGAAAATACACCATCATACCAAGGAAAACACATGTGACTCCTTTTCCATTTGTGTGTGAGCAGAAATGGAGGCAGTGGAAGTCAGGCCATTTCAGCTTTTGTCCATCGGCCTAAATGTATTTGATGCGTGGAAAAGCAAACAAAGACAAGCGCCAATGGCATAAGGTTAACACTGGATAAGTATAATAGCCACCGTAAGTGTGTGATGCTTCTCTTTTTAATAAAAAAAAAAAAAGGGGGGGGGGGGGGGGGTTGTCAATGCGCACATGAATGCCTCCAAGCGTTGACTCTGTAAACCATACAAAACCTGGAACACATTTAGATCTCATCAGCTACAGACGCTTAGTTGTTTTTATGTGATTATCCTTACAACTGCAATCCTCCCGTTTCACAACCAGCCAGTGTCCCACTCACCACATTCCCACACGTCCTGTCCACTTATTCAAGGATTGCTTGAACTTGCACCTACAAATGCCCACAGCTCCATTATTCTGGCGATGAAGTGAAGGCACCACTTGTGCCGGGGTGTGATTAGCGCGCGCACACACGCACAAAAAGGGGGGAGATAGGGGAAAAAAACTGAGGTGTCAACAACTAATTTATACTGTGTAAAATCAGAAGTGACGAGAGGGGAAGCAAGCAACCAACTCAACTGAAACAGTCACGGTACTGGACACTGTGGGCTGCGGTCTGAGCAGTAAGGACTGTTGACAGTAAAGACTGGTAGTAATAGAACAAATGTTAAAACAGAGAGAGGTAACTTACCGTTTACCCCAAACACCAGACAAGCTGTAAAAAGTTGCAGCCAAAGGAAAAACCGCGTCTGTTCCTTCATACTTCTTGTTTTTGTCAGCCGTTAAATAGCTGTAGTTTGTTAGTTTGATGGACAACTGTACGGTTAGAGTGCAACGACAGTCTGGACGTTGTTGCTACGGCGGCTCGAGCTTGTTGTTCGGCTCTTACTCCCAGAGAGCAGGCGTGGAGAAGGAGCACGTGTACCTTGGCTCTCGGCCAATCGCAGCCTGGCATTTAATTGTGACCCCGCCCCCCGTTTAAAAAAAGTCACTAAGAAAAGTAAATTGATCTGCTATGGAAACAAAAGAAGCTATTATAGCTAATGGGCTGCACTATATCTAAATTTGATTTCATTCAAATTTTCAATACCCAAACCTTGAGGAGAAAATCATTGTTTACATTTTAGTAACATTTATGTATTACGAAGGTGAATAGGTCTGCCAGCCCTTGTAGTAAAATGCTTTTCTCTGAGTTTGAGGGACATCACAGCACCAAGAACCACGCATCTTTATTTTGACTTCAGATACCAAGCCAACAGCAGTAGTGAACTTCAAGAACCAACTTCTGATAGCATCACCTTTGGCCACCAAAAGGACGTCCTTAAACTCACACTCTTTCCTTGACAAACAGTTTGATTACATTTTCACATTGTATGAGAGTTACAGCTAACAGGGACAAAAACAGCAACGCGTGCTGACAGAAAAGTTCAGGATATACTCAAGAACTCAACTCATTATTACTGCTGTTGGACAGAAGTAAGCTCACTGACCCTTTGACCCAAATTAGACTTCATCAAAACGTTTTACAGCCTCCTCCAGAGTAAATAAACATGCACACATATTGACCGCTAAGCTAAACTGTAGCTACGATGATCCAATTCAATTCAATTCAATTTATACAGTGCCAAAAAGTCACACAAAGGTGCTGTGTATTTTAAGATAAAGACCCTACAAAAATACAGAGAAAACGAGGTGACTTCCTATGATTAAGCACTTGGTGACACTGGGAAGGAAAACCTTCCATTTAACAGGAAAAAAAACCTCTGCCAGAAACCAGTTTGAGGGAGGAGCAACCATGGGTTGGGGGTGAGTGAGGTGAACTGGGAGGTGTAAGAAAACAGAATGTATTTTACTGTAATCTACAATCTGATGAACTCTAGTGGTAAGATTTTACTAACTTTAACAGTTCAATCAGCATGCATTAGCATCATTTGGTTGTTTTATGGCTAAAGTCAGATTTGCTGTATGTGAATTCATTATACATACATAACAGCTTTATATGATTACAACAGGATGGATAACAGATGGGAAAAGGAGCTATAATCATGTAAGGCCTAGACCACAGCATTCAAAAAAATCCATATGAGTTTTTGCTTTAATTGTAATGTATATATCATCTATATATGATATATGGTCTAAAATGTCAGATTTACTATAGCATGTGAGAGAGTTCATTGATTCTTAATGTTCTGAATAATGTTTCTTGTATCCAAAAATGTTTGAAACACACTGAAATATTTTATAAATATTTGTAATATTTAAATGAGTCCCATTTTTCTTCTAAAACAGAATTTACATGCATTTAATTTGCGTCATCATCGTCACCATCAGTACAGCTTTAGTCCGTAATGTCACTCTTTGATGGAGCCCTGTTGATGAATTGCAAGTCTATTCACAAAAAGTTCTGGGAAAATTTCCATGATGTGCCATGCATGAAATTCTCTTCTGACATGCAGATTAAGGCCAGAGATTTATTGTATCAAGCCATCTGTGGGTGTTTCTGGAACTGGGATCCAGCAGTGGGTCAGAGTTGATTTTTGAGCTTTTCAAGTTTTAATATGAATTGCAAAAAATTACCACTTTTCTCTGAAAACACAGATGCCACTGTATCATGTACACATCAGGCTGACTGACATTCATCAGTGGTCACTGTGGTGTGTGTCTCAGCAATGACAGATTTCTCAGATGTTCCTCTTCCATGCGACAAAGCTTCTTCACATGACTGACCTTCAGTTAGTATGAGCTGGGTTAATCGTCACAAGATGACAGTTAAATGAAAATTTAATGTGACAGGACCCTGTTTGATCTTAATCCGCATTGCAGAGAGTAGCATAATCCTGTAAACTCAAATCTTGAGAACATGTGATACCCTTAAAGGGAAATGCTACTTGGCGAATTTGGCACAGGATTCATGAATGTATAGCTGGTATGTATCAGTGATGTTTCACTTCTGTCTCCCACACAGAAACAAGAAAAATTGGCCAAGATGTCTTTCACTTCTGTCTCCCATTTGGAAATGAGACTGAGGATTCATCATAAACAGCACCAGATATAAAGAAATGAAAATAATTGATAGGAGTGGAGATGAGCAGAGTTTCATTTTGACATTCTTAGTTTGTACAGCTGTGTATGCTCACAAGGCTCAATGATTTTTTTGCCAAATGGGGCTTTCTGGTGTATGTTGGACTGTGGAAGATATACACATGACAATAATTGATGAATGTATATATTGCCAAAAGAATTCTATTAATTTTAGTTGTTTAAGTTTACATCGTTGCATCATTGTCGCATAAAGTATGCTGAAAATCCCATTTCTTAGAATTTATTTGAAAGAGTTAAAGATTTGGGAGATGTGATGAAATGTATGCATAAAGTATTGAGAGTGTGTATGTTACCGATCTGTAAAACGATACTTTTTGATGTCAAAGTTAAAGCCATGTCATCAACACATTAAAATAAACAAATATTCACTTATTATACATGGATATATTATATATTAGTAGAAACAACATTTAAAGCATGGTTAAGCCGCTATGAGTATACAGTCATTGATTTTGACCCAGTGTTTCCAGTTAATCAATGGCGCCCTCTTGTGGCTAACACACTCAGTGCAAAGTTTAGACAAATCGCTTGAAAATGAATGACATTTAAACTAGAGGAATAACGTTTGTTGGATTTCGTTTTTCTGTTTGTATTATTATTATTTTTTATTATTTGTCAACGTAAGCTAGGGTTTCAGTTAAGTAGGAAGTAAGTGGCTATGTTTGCTGTACTGACTGCTGATATAATCGGAAATTTCAGTTTCACAAAGCGAAGGAGGAGACTGTGACACCGAAATGGAGAGTTTCATGTATTATATTATGACTATACATGACAGGTCTAACAAGTAGAACGTAAAATAAGATGGACAAAAACGTGAAAATAAAACGTTAAAAAATTTGAATATACATATTTTCATTCGCAATGGTTGCATTTGGGATTGCAAAAATTCGGAGCTTTTTCAGGTGGCATGAAGGCATCCTGAGCGAGCCGCTGGTCAGTCAGTTTCTCCGCTGTAAACAGGCGGTGTTAGAGCGTCAAACTTCGGGTGGGTCCGGGAAAAACCTAGTGAAACTTCAGAAAGTGTAATGGTAAGACCATACATTTTAATTTTATGCTCAACGCGTATTGCGTTCTTTACGTAAAGTGCCTGTTGTGTTTGGTCGACATCTGACAGAAAAAGTTTTACCTGAGTGACGTGACAAAGGCAACAAACTGAGGCACTTTTAAGCTAGCAGGCAGTTTCTTCTAACCTCCCTATTTCTCATTTTGTGTAATCCATATGCGTCACGTAACCGCACCGCAAACCACATATTGCAAATTACTCGTGTTTGTGTACTCTTTTGTTGGTTTGCCTTGGCCATTTAATTCAATGAGATGTTACTTGCGTGTTTTCCCAGCTCTGAATGAAATACTTTCTTCTGGCAGCAAGGTGAGTAAAAACCGTCAACATTAATAGATGGTGTCACTCCTGGATAACTCTATCATGTCTTCAGTGGATTTTTAGTTATTTATTTAATTATTTTGAGATTTCATACTAGACTCTACTGAAAGATCAGATCCCAAATGTCGCACAGCTGCCTATAAGTTAGAGCACCATGTAATTTTATGCTGTTGTATGTGAGAAGCTGCCGTTTTAGCAGAAATTTACAAACATATTTTATGTTTTCAATATTTCAGTTTCATTTATGAAATTTGACTTTTGTAAATGTACTGTGTAAAAATAATCCATTTGCTGTTGGCTTTTTGCTTGTGTAAATTATATGTTTATGCACACACAGCGGATCAACTCACACATATAAAATGACCACCACGGAGGGCGGTTACGTACACACCTTTGGCCCAGAGCTGCCTGCCATGTTTGATGGTGTGAAGCTGGCGGCGGTGGCTACCATCCTCTATATCATTGTCCGCTGTCTGAACCTCAAGAGTCCCACTGCACCACCAGAGATCATTTACCAGGACACCCTGCTCAGTCGCTACCTGCTCAAGACCTGCCCAATGCTGACCAAAGAGTGAGAGATTTTAATATTATATTAAAAGATCTGTGATGGCACTGAGATGACTGGAATGTGGACTTAATCATGAACTCCCGATTCTTACCTTAGATACAGGTGCACCATAGACTCATCAGGCATAACATTATGACCACCTGCTTAATTTTGTGTTGGTCCCCCTTTTGCTGCCAAAATAGCCCTGACCCATTGAGGCATGGAGTCCACCAGAACTCTGAAAGTGTGCTGTGGTATCTGCACCAGCAACAGATCCTTTCAGTCCCGTAAGTTTTGAGGTGGGGCCCCCATGGATCCGATTTGTTTGCTTTGTGGCGTTATCCTGCTGAAAGAGGCCACAGCTGCCAGGGAATACTGTTTCCACGAAAGGGTGTACAGGTAAGCAACTCACGCACAGCTGGCCATCCACGTGATGTGAAAGAAAATGGGATTCATCAGACCAGACCACCTTCTTCCATTGCTCCACGGTCCAGTTCTGCTGCTCACGTGCCCATAGTTGGTGCTTTTGGCAGTGGACAGGGGTCTGACCACACGGGCCAGCCTTCACTCCCCACCTGCATCACTCTGTCGCTTATTCACCACCGTTACTTTCTTGGAACACTTTTGATAGATACTGACCACTGCATTCCAGGAAAACCCCATAAGAGCTGCGGTTTTGGAGAAGCTCTTACCCAGTCGTCTAGCCATCACAATAATCAAACTCGCCCAAATCCTTACCTTGGCACATTTTTCCTGCTTCTAGCGCATCAACTTTGAGGACAAAATGTTCTCTTACTCCCGAAAATATCCTGCTCACTAACCGGTGCCATGATAATCAGTGTTATTCACTTCACCTGTCAG